ACATTATAGGAACATGGGATGCAAATAAAAGGGATCTGGCAACCTCAACCACATGCCTGTTCTTTCTTTCCGCCACCCCGTTTTGTTGTGGAGTGTAGGAACAAGAACTTTGATGAATAACCCCAAAAGTTTCAAGATAGGTGGAGAGGGTTCTCTCAAAATACTCCTTAGCATTATCAGAGCGGAATATTTTGATACGGGTATTAAACTGGGTGAGGATGAGTTCATGAAAATTTTTCACAATAGTTGGTACTTCATCCCTCGATTTTATGAGATAAATCCAAGCGTAACGTGAGTAATCATCAATGAAAAGGATAAAGTATCTGTAACCCCCCATTGTTGGCTTGTGATATGGCCCCCACACATCAGAGTGAACGATATGGAAAGGAGAAAATGATCTTTTATTGCTAATTGAATAGGAATGTCTACAATGCTTTGCCAGCTCACATGATTCACAATGAAGACTCGATAAAGACACTCCTTTAAACATATCTGGGAATAGATGACTCAAAGCAGAAAAGGACAAGTGACCAAACCAAAAATGACATAATAAAATTTTGTTAACAGACTCTGACACAACTGACTCTAAGGCAACTCCATGAGGTGGTCCCAAACCTTGATCTGGTGTGTCCAGCAAGTATATTCCGTTCGCCTCATGGCCACTCCCAATCATCCTCTGAGACTGTAGGTCTTGAAAAACACAATGAGTGGGAAAGAAAGTTATGCTGCAATTCATTGACTTTGTTAAGCTACTAACAGATAAGAGGTTTGTGTTAAGCTTAGGGACATGAAGAACTGAAGATAAGAACAGGGTGTCAGAGGTCTTTATATCACATTTACCAGAGATGGGGGCAACGGACCCATCGGCAAGGGATATTTTCTCTTTCCCAGAGAGGAGGTGATATGAGCAAAATAGGTTAGATAGGCTGGTCATATGGTCTGATGCACCGGAATCAATAATCCAAGGGATTTTACAATTACCTGAAGCTGAAGCATGATTCGTAGAAGCACGAGTACCTGAGTGAGCAAAAGCCGATGAAGATGATGTACTGTTGGAAGGGTGAGTTGAAGAAACCGTAGCTTCCAGGTGACCTAGGAGCCTCCCATACTTCTCAAAATCCAGCTTCATTGCAGCCAATTGCTCAATAGTTGATTTTTCTTCGCTTTCCTTACTTCCCCCTTCAGGCATTGTAGCAGCATTAGCAGTCTTGAATTTTCCCACCTGACTGCCCTTCTTAGGGTTATTATTGTTCTTAGAATCTATCAGGAAGAAGTTCAAGATGAAGCTTCTAGTAGGTGTCCTTTGTATGTCGTGGTTTCTTGCAATATTCACACAWCTGCTCTCTTTTCTCARTAGGRCCCTTCGGTTTCATTCCCGCATGTGCAAAATGTTCTGTAGATGGACTCTGCAACTGCACCTACCGCCTACTCTCCTCACTACTTATCATAGCATATGCCTA